AACACATATTCCTATGATAGCTAATATGATCATTGAAAATCCTTACTCACGTGTTTACTATTGAAATTGATATCCTTTGAACCTCAATTCATGAGCTGAATCTTGCGGTTATTTTGATATTTGTATCACCTCAATATGTGTTGTAGTCAACGAGAAATCGACGAACAAAGTAAGCATAGAGCGATGCTGATGACTGGTGCCCCACGTTATAGATTTTGTCCATTTTGCAGCAATTACGAGACAATCCCAGTCGATTCGACCGCCACCAACGACAGCTGGCCATGGTGCTGGCATTCCTCCAGGACAATCAATCGAAGCAGAACAGATAATACAACCAACTTCGATTGCTGCGGCCACGTTGTCGCCCCCCGTAGAGTCTATCGTGGTCACTCTTCCAGTGAACTAAAATAGGTTGCTTGCCGTTCCTGAGTCATAGCTACTATAACAACAAAGCGTTGCCTGGAGCCTGTTTTGTACCTAAAGTAGGCACATTAACTCTTCACTGACATCACCGGGGCAAACGTGGGAGCGTCATGACGTAGCAATATTAATGACGAGTAGTCACGAATAAGCCCAAAGAAGTACCTCAGACCACAGATAATGCTTTTGGTAACATTTCTTCGTGTTATCTTCAAGCACGCGGCTCCCGTACACTTCATGTCTTCCTTCGCCAACAAAAACTTGTTCTTCATCACGACGTCCAACATTCCGGCACCAGCGCGTTCGTTCTGCTTGGCTGACAGCGATAGCTGCTTTTGCGCACGTCTGCGGTCCCTTGATGCACGCTTAGACGCCAACTCCGTATACGCACTTTCCATGGTACAAACCGTGAACCAAATAAATACATAATAAATCTAAGTAATATAATAACACCACTAAAAAATACATTTGCACACAGCCGCAAATATTACAAGATTCTATGAGCAGCACTGATGACAGAAGTGTGATCATTCTTCCCCATCACTAAGGCATGCGTCCAAAGATAGGAACACTCCTGCATAACGTTACACCGCTAACTCGATGGTTTGGTGTTGGTTTATACTTTTCATATTTGATTGGTGGATGCATTTAGTTGCATTGGAGTTGATTGGCGGATGCTACGTTTGGATATTTTGCATTTTTTCGCGAATAATTGAGGTTTTGTCTTATTATTATATCAATTGGTTTTTAAAAATTATTACAGTTCAACGTCAAAACCACTAAAGTCTTTGAGCTGGAGTGTCACTACTACTCCATGCGTTCCAGGTTGTTGCGGCTGGTCAAAAGGCCAATCGAAAGTCCTCAGCCCCTAGTGTGTATATCAGATATGATAAGAGCCAGTGCGATCGAGCTGCCGCCAATTCGTTTGAGTTTCGCTGTTTTGGTCATTTCCCGCACCATCCAGGCAATGTGTTGTTGTTATAGTAGCTATGACTCAGGAACGGCAAGCAACCTATTTTAGTTCACTGGAAGAGTGACCATGATAGACTCTACGAGGAGCGACAACGTGGCCGCAGCAATCGGAGTTGGTTGTATTATCTGTTCTGCTTCGATTGATCGTCCTGGAGGAATACCAGCACCATGGCCAGCTGTCGTTGGTGCGGTCGAGTCGACTGGGATTGTCTCGTAATAGCTGCAAAATGGATAAAATCTATATGAGCGAAGGCACGTTTCACGACAACTTGAGGTTTTGTGCTAGACTTTCAAATTTATACTGACCCAATCGCAGGGTCTCATCATGACCACGATACGTGAAAAACAGAGGCACTTAGTCTACCTCTGATTTTGTAGCTGTAGGCGTGACAAGATGGGTTGTACGCACTTTTAATTAAACGCATTCGTCCATTATGCACAGGTGGACTCTACTTATCGGTGATCGTAGCAATTCACGTCTCGATGAGTTTACTCTTTGCCGCACCAGGTCCCTTGCAGCACCGTAAACATGGTACATTCAGCTTGACTCAACTCTGGAGGCAAACAAAAGTTGATCAATGAAGAATAGCAACCAGTGCAGCCATTGCAGGTGGACGGCGGGCAGGGCGTCAAAGGCGAAGTAGGGAATGGACGGGGTGTAGCGGGGGGCGACGAGGGGGATGACGTCAGAGGGAAAGAAGGGAACGGACGGCGGGTACTGGTGGCGGGGGACGACGGATCTGACGTGCTGGGTTTCGATGGCGATGGGGACGACGTCATAGGGAAAGAAGGGAACGGACGGCGGGTACTGGTGGCGGGGGACGACGGATATGACGTGCTGGGTTTCGACGGCGATGGGGATGACGTCATAGGGAAAGAAGGGAACGGACGGCGGGTACTGGTGGCGGGGGTCCACGGATCTGATGTGCTGGGTTTCGACGGCGATGGGGACGACGTCATCGGGAAAGAAGGGAACGGACGGCGGGTACTGGTGGCGGGGGTCCACGGATCTGATGTGCTGGGTGTCGACGGCGATGGGGACGACGTCATAGGGAAAGAAGGGAACGGACGGCGGGTACTGGTGGCGGGGGTCCACGG